CTACACACACACACACACACACACCTATTTTTAGCTGCCCATGCAGTAGCACATCTAGTTGTTAATAACATCTGTTATGCTGATAGACTGTCTCCAGACTCCTTAATACTTCAGGTAGTTAGGAATTAATGCAACAAAAGAGAGTAAGTGTTTGAATGCCACAGGACCACCTTGATTATTTCAGGGGGAAAAATGGAAATACAGCCCAGTATCATTTTCCTAATGGCATTCTTTGTTTTTCATATATCCACACAAACAAAGGTCATTAAACATCTCGGCAGAAAATATATTCCGGAGGGAGAACTGATTAGCTGATCGTTTCACAGTGTGGACCGCATCACTGGGGACACACTAAATGTTCGAGTCTCTGGGTTTTATGTTTCTAACAAGGTTTTAATTGCCAAGGTAACTGAACACACCTGCTTAGGCTCTTTAATTATTTGATAATGGTCTAATCTTTCACAATACAGCCGTTTCTGCAGCGGTAAGCTAGACTAATGGAACCGACAGAGAGAGAGCACCGGCGTGTCCATAGTCACGGAAAAGGAAATTCCGCTGCTTGCTGGGAAAACGCTGCACCAGCATGTAACGAGGTCCAGCCCAGCCAAAAGAAGTTTGATACACCACCACATGCCCTCATTCGCAGAACGCTAGCTGACATAATTATGCCTGCGTTGACTGAATTTTCATTTTTTATAACACGAGGAGAAATCTGGAACCGTGGGAATGGAGTGAACAAGCACATTATCAGAACAGCGTCTGTTTACGGCGTAAATTGGAGCTTTGTAATAAAATCGTACAACATTATGCATGGAGAATGAATCATATTAGCATATTATATCATATAGAGTCTAACAAGTAAAAACCTTCGTTATGATGTTATAACAAGCACATTGTGATATAATTAAACTGCTAATCTGAATATGTTTAGCATGTTCCAGAAGTAAACAGTGAAATTATTTAAAACCATAGGAACTGCTCCCCCCACCCCCCACACAAAAATGCACACTCCACATAGTGGGAATACAGTACATAATTATATGGGATGACACAGCATTATGTCGTAGGTTCTGAACCCACAATATGTACTTTTTGAGGCCCGAGTCTTTGCAGGTGCAGATGACTCCCAACAAGTGAAAAGAATCTCATTATCAGCCTGCTCATGAATAATTTATCACCGCGCTTAGTCTTTATAAGGCCCTGGGCAGGGTATGGAAAGACGCCTGTGAGGGGTATTCCCAGACACTGTCACCACATCTGAAGTGTTTAGCCGGATGGTGTCGATAACCCCAGGCTCTGCCTGCCTCTTTGCCTCCCCTCCAAGACTCTGCGGCTGCGAGGAGGCCCAGGGCTGGAGGCTGGGAGCCCTGGCAGGATACGGGGCCTCTGGGGCCACCAACGGTACCGAATCCCTGACACAAGCAGGGGACATAACAAAGGGCCCCGCAGTAGTGTGATGTAAAGCAAGTCGATGGCCGTGTGAAGTGCAGTAAGGATCTGTGATGGAATTTCACTGAATCCTTATGGGGGGGGCGGGGGGGGCGGGTAGGCGAATATCCCTTACATCTAATCGAAAGTCCTCTGAGGTAGATATTTTCAATCGAAACCATGAAAATATAATCCATATAGACGCCGGATGTTTCTCCAGTCTGACATCTCCTGGTCTGTGCTGGCAAAACACAAAGTAATGTAACATTGTAAAGGTGTCACAGGTCCCACATTTTCTAACCTAATCTAACATCATCTTAGCACTTAACTGCTAAATGAAGATGAAATACACCGTGGAAAAGAACCTGGATTTAATGTAAATAGTCGTACATATTGTGCGCTGGATAGCAGCGTCCTGCCTAACGGCAGCATACGTTGACACCGTAACTGTGTGCATTACCCTGGCAGGCTGGCTCGAGTGCATTTCAAGTGCGATTTGCATATACCCTCAAACGTTTTCAGTGAAGTGCTTATTCATTCAACTGTCTCTTACTGTTAAAGGTCCGTATCTCTGAAATCAGATTATCCCTGCAGCTGGGAATACTGCTCAAAGAAGTAAATAAGGAGATTCAATTGAGATGCAAAAGGAACATACAGACAATGGAATATTCTCAGAGATTTCCTAGAGGAAATCATGATGCAGCCAATCACGGGAACCTTGGGCACTGGCTCAGCCAATCACTGTTCAGCAGTGGGTTCTGTATTTGGAGGCTTCTCAGCTACTGGCATTATCCCTGAAGGAATGTAGGCCCTCAAGCCACGTATCAGTCATATAGAGCATATATAGACTCAGAGTAAAGAGACTCTCTCAAAGATCAATATGCAGCTGTTGTGTGCTCTCAAGCAGACACAGGATGGAACGGCAGGGTGTCCCCAGTAGGGAAAACATTACCATCATGTATAATTTTATAATATATCAAAATTGCAGCATGTGGATTTGAGTCGTAGCTAAAGAAACACGGAAGCGAAAGTATCAGATCGGTTAGTGTCGTATCTATCGCGCTCCTATACAGCGATATTCTGACATAAATGGCACCCTCTTTTGCTTTTTAAACTTTACAGTTTCTATGCTGAGAAGGCCATCTACGTGCCATAGCACTTCAAATTCCATGTAGAGACCCCCCCCCCTCCCGCCCCCGCCCCCGCCGCTGTCGTCTGAAACACAGGAAGCCGCTTGAAGTGTCCGAGAGCTTATTGCCTGGGAAGCTGTTATGAATCCAGGCCAGAGCAGTGAGCTACGCCGAAGATTCGATTCCTGTCCAAGCTCCTCGTAGATCCCATAAGCTGCCAATGCTTAGAGAAAGATCTTTCTCGTAAACTAGAATGGCACGTCCAGCCACATTATAGATTCAGCAGTGATTTTTTTTTTTTTGCTGCATTGTTTAATATAGCTGAATTCCAAGTATTGGTCATGGTTGGGATTAGTCTTATTCTGAAATGTAAGGTCTAGATCACAATTTTTTTTGAGTATACTGTGCTGGACAAGTGGTTGGAAAATGAATAGAAGGAATATGATGGTAAATATGATACCACAAAACAGAGACATAACAATATGTGCCTGATTCAATTAATGGCTGCTTTTAAATTATCTACATTATATCACAATTCCTCCTAGCAAGAGATAAAAACAAATCTCTCTTTTTTTTTTTGATTTTGGAATTTATTCAGTGGAAAGATTCTGTTTGATATTAAAATTTTATGCTGAGATTTTAAAAAAAAAAAAGTTAATGCAATGTACTACTTTTGTCCATTATTTATTAATTAGCTAATTTCCATTTTTCTTTTAAAGGAATCTATTTTCATTCTGCAGCGTCACCCAAAGTCATAATTGTTAACACAAACCGACAAACATCATTCATAAAACAGGCAAGTGGCTTAACACGTCGCAATCTGGCAAAGCCTCTCTCTCAGGAAGACTTTATCGCACAAAGTTTCAGAAGAGCGACTGAACTGAAATGTGAATCTTCTGTGCCGAACTAGAGCAAAATACATGGTTGTTAATTATTATTTTTTTATATGTTAAATGTTACATGCTTTTTTTGGTTCCTGTCAAGGAGCATTAGCTGATATCATAAGTTTAAGTCAGACACTATACAATAAATCTGCCTCATCCTTTAAAGCGAGGCCTGATTTCAGTGTCTCATTGTTAATAAAGGCTATTCAATTCCCAACCCCCATGGCTGTCTTCTTGATATTTTTTTAGAAGGGACTTAGAGTTGGGGGCTGGATAGGAGCAAGAGTGTCATCCTTCTTGTCAGGGACCTGACACGTGTGTCCCAGGATGGACCTGGGCTGCACTGCTGGCTGGAAACCTACTTTCGCCAGCCTTCCTGGATCAGCTCTCTTCCACGTCGCCGTGCCGACCCACGACCCGCATCTCTGCGTGGATCTCGCACGCGGCGAAAGCCATCCAACACCACTGACCCACCTGTGAAAGTAATTTGTGCAACAATCCTTTTCCCTACGAAAACCGGATCCTAATATGAAACCCTAAAAAGGCAAGATGCCGTATCCAAGTAAAAAAAAATCTTTTGTATTGAAACTGAATCATGGCCATTAATTTCGAAAAACAGGCTCTTTCATAAGTAAAATTTAAGTATGACCGTTCCACTTGATGTGCGCACGTACCCCTGCTATTTTCATTTTAATTAACAGTTTTTAGGCATAGCTGACTGGAATCCTGCTGGGTCCCTGATTGGATATTAAACACCACATTTCAAGACACTGACTTCTGAAAATAGGACTGTTCATAAATGGATGAAATCTCAATCAAAGCTGAGACAAAGCAAATTATTCAGGCTCAGTGGTACGTTTTGTCGACAATTACAAAAACAGGAAACGAGCTCCAAACTGACGGTCGTAATTGAAGTATGGCTACTTTTGATTATTTTTAATTCGTAGTGACCGCAATGAAAGTAAACCATGGATATCTGCCAAGTCTGATGATTTACTTCATCTGAAATGGCATAAACCTAAAAGAACCCTCTGGAATTATTTTATCACTCTTCTGGGGGGAAAATGAATACATTGTCCTTTCCAATCTCCTTTGGTTTCTTGGAACATTTTGTGCATCTTTTCTATTTTTTTCTGGCTGAATATCCTCATCAGAGCTTTCCACAGCCCCATCTCCTGCCTGGTTGTTGCGCTGTGTCGACCGTGGGACCATCTTGTTTTTATCAATATCCATCATTGGGTCCGGCCCCCCGCACAACACGAAATGCAAAAGGACTCTTTGGTGGCAGTGACACACGTCTGACTCCGCTCGCATGACTCCCCATGTCCTCTCTGGTGTTTTTCTCTGGAAGGTTCTGTGCCACCCCCTCGAGATACATAATATGTCCTTTAATTTCCCAGAGGAAATACCCCCCTTTTTTAATAGAACAGAGGAAAACAACAGAGTAGTGTTAGAAGAGCAACATGCAGGCTACAAGACAATGCACAAGTTAATCCTTCGTCTGTTATGTGCCACTGTGTATGCCTTGGAACAGCCGTTCTCCGCATGTTTTGGGTCTGTTTGCAGCTCCGGTGCCGCGTCTGGGCGCCACCGGGCGACGGAGACCTCCCAGGCCGCGCCCCAGCAACCGACACAACGAGGTGCTAATGAAGCGATCCGGAGAGATGAAGGGAGGGTCGCGAAATCAATCGATCAATCAGTCTCAGCCATTCGATCTGACGTCGCTAATATGGTGCACTTCTGCCGGCAAGCTGTCGCAAACATTCCGCTGCAGATTTCTAGAACAGAATTATGACAAACTTGAACAGCAGATAATATGAGTGAGAATTTTTCAAGAACCCCTTCAAAAAATTAGATACACTCTTACCTTTTCGGAGATGTAATTCTCCTTCATCCACCCCTCCTCGCTCCCACAAAAACCCTCATTATGGACACACACACCTAACACACACACAAAAAAAATGAAGTTATGTTTCTGGTAACATGTCCGTATCTACCTCAGAGGACTTGGAGATCATGACCTAAGTATATTTAGACCTAAGTATATTTAGTATATAAGAAAACAGAGGAAATATGTTATCCGCGTGTCCTGCTGTGATTTATACCATGTGATTTGTGCCTCTGATAGCCTCCGGGCTTAGTTTGCTCCCCCGTGAACCCCTACCCTGCAGTCTCAGAGGCAGCAGGTAGACATCAGACCATAGGGCATCGAGTTATACACCAAATTGCCCAAAATGGGAGAGCACAGTTTGTTTGATTGACCCTCCGGTGAATAATTATGCTCTTAATGGCTGTTGTGAAGTCCACTCTGAGGTGAATGTTTCTGCGGGAGGCAGAGAGCAGACCGCCGGAGTTTAAATTGCTCTGGCCAGCCCTGGCACATTGGTGCAGAGCGACCTGACATCCGGGATGCGTTTTGAAGCTGTGACACGCTCTTGTGTAGAGCAGAAGGCCCAGGGGTCCTCTACACAGCCTCCTTGTGAGGAGTCCCCAGCGCTCGGTGTCAAAGGCGTCAGAGATGATCCAAGAGGGGCTCTCGTCACTCCGGCAGCCTACGGGGGTCTGCGTACACAACCCGCTTGCCATGCAGCGATCGCAACGCCCTGGAAAGCGAGCTCGCTGTTTTTCTACTCCGATTCCTGCTACGTGCGTCCTCCAGAACCCAGGAAACAGAGCTAACATGCAGTTCACAAAAATCTCTCTGACTGGATGGAATTATGACGAATATTATTTGCCGTGCAAAGTTTTTCGTGAACCTTTATGAAACGAGCCGCAGGTCCGGGGGATGAACAGCCAGTCGCCGGCCAGAATGTCAACTGCAACATTTGAAATAACCCGAGCTGCCTTCGTCTACGTGGCTATGTAATGCAAAAATTATTTCCTTGTAATTTCAACCTTTGGGTGGTTGCCATGGCAACATGTCCAAAACTGAAAGATGGAAGTGAAAAGACCTCAGAGGGGTAGTGCCTCCTCTCTGCTGGAACTCACAAGAAAATTCTAGAAGCCAGCATGCCTGTAATGAGCACGATATGAGTTAAAAACTTGATGAATGGGTGGTAGGATGGAACTCAGTGAGGGAGGGAGACACCGATTTCATACTAATGCTCCAAGCAGGCCTTTATACAGAAGAAAAAGGATGCCATATAAAGGGCACGAGCCCTGCCACTCAGCTCGGAAAAGACACACAGGCTTATCAATGATGTGTGTCACCACAGAGTATTTGCTAATTGTGTGCATGTTACTTTGTGGGGCTTGTTTACAGTGCCTTCTTAATGATGTGCTGGTTAAATGCACATGCGTGCATTTTTAATTCTCAAGTGTTGTCATTTTCAGAGGATATTGACTATTTATTTCTGCCCAGGAGTGGGACTCTTCCCCCCCCCCCCGGTGACCTGAACCCAGCATGGCGTTGAAGTGATCTCTACATTCAGACTCACCGTCTGGATAGCGAGGTCACGCCTGCCTGTGGCGTGGGACACTGGGGGGGTGTATAATATTGGGCTGTCGGCTTTCAAATATGTATATGCTGCCAATCAAATGTTTGTCATCTGTGTGAAACGACACAAAGAACAAACGTAATTTAAAAACAGTAGGTTATTCGTCGTAATTAAGTAGGAGCTAATTTTCTTTTTTTCCTCTTTTATTCAAATGTTTCAAAACGAGTCTGCGCTATTGTGAAAGTCGATAGATCCTGTTTAAAAGAACACCAATCAAGGTCACCAAAGTTGTTGGGGGTAAAATAACATATTATTAAAACCCTCCCATAACTCAAATTTAAAAAGTTGTCAAGGAGTTTCTTTTTAGGTTTGAATAAAAGGTGTACAATTGTATATATATTTTTTTTCCATTTTATTTAATTGCCCTCTTTCTGTAGGTATAAAAACCATCAAGTGATTGCTGAGACCTTGAATTAACCCCCTGAGAGGTTCACAAAAAACTGAGCATACTTTTGTTCCCTTTTTTGTTCCCAGAAATGAGCTACGATCGATTAAACCTCATGCCCTGCTGGTGTGGTTCTGAGCCTGGGTGTTTGTGGACCATCTTGGGGGGAAGGGGGGGGGGATACATGAGAGTAAAGAGGGGGCAGTGTGGACTCTGAGCCATGTTACTACACATGATGGTCTAAGACAGTTTTTCTCAACCCAGTCCTTGGGGACCCTCAGACAGTCCACATTTTTGCTCTATCTCAGCTTCCAGCAGGGAGGAAGCAAAAATGTGGACTGTCTGGCAGGGAGCTGGGATGGAACACAAATGTGTACAGTGTGAGGGTCTCTGAGGACTGGGGTTGAGAGACACTGGTCTAAGATGATCCATCAGATCGAAACCAAGGGTTAGCTCTCACAGAAAGGAGTCCAGGACCATCACCTTATTCATGGCAACAAGATCCTGCTCTCGGTTTCCTCCAAAACGGACCATTTTTGGTAAAAACATAAAAAACAAACATATCAGTACCATGGTAGTACCAAACACTGGGTTATGATTTCAGTTTGACACCCTTCAAGTCAGACGTTACGTGACATCAGAGCAGCTCCCAGTCTCCCATTCACAGTCCCAGTAAACAACATCTCTCCTGCTTAGTGGAATCGGGCCAAAATCAGAGCCGAAATGAGGTTATGCATCTGGCCCCTTCTCCTCACCTAATTTGGGATACTGCGTGACCTTTAATGCCTCGGAGCCGGGCTTTCGGAGCATCCGCTCCCTCCGCTGCTGCTAGTTTGAGGTAGAAATGTGCAGGATTTTTCCTGGAAAACCAACATGCCTGCCCCCCCCGTCCCCCCCCCTGTCTGGTTTCAGAATGGTCATAAAGAACAACGTCGACTGAGTGGATTGACCGGCCGAGTGAAGTGTGCACGGAAGTGTGCTCCCGCCTGCTTGTAGCGCAGTTCCCCGAGCGCCTGCCTGACACCTCGCCGCGCTGGATATCAGCCCCGCGCTCGCCAGGTCTCTGTTGGATTACACGGCTGACAGCTGGCCCTCTCTCCAGAGACCTCCGGCAGAGCGACCGTGTCTGCCCGCAGTTCGGTGTCAGCCCCCGTCTCTGCGGCGTGACCAGCCCTGCATAAGCAACAAGCTAGCCTCAAAAGATACGCTCCATTTGTTGGGAGCTTGTATACACACAGTTAAGCACAACTACCTCACTCCCC